CCCTGGATAAGAGGAAGAAAACGGACAGATGGACAGCTCAGGTGGTACAATAAATCTATGAGACATGTCACATTTACTGGCATGATATTCAGCCTTCTTCATGAGTGTCTAAAATATATATCTGTATATACAACAGTCTCCTTCCCTCGCTGTCTTCGTCTCGTTTAAAAACACACTACTACTCCCTAGCCTTTGAGTCTGAGTGAGATGGTGCAAAACCTCACCGTGTATCATAACTCTGTTCTATATGTTCTGTAAATATAAATGCTCCATATTTTAACTGTATTCTGACTGTATTCTGACTATGTCCTGTTATGTCTGTCTATTGTACAGCAGTTTGTTTGGCCTTGTGCTGTTTAAAGTGCTTTATAAATAAAAGTGGTATGGTATGGTATGGTATGGTATGGTATGGTATGACATGATACCGTACTATACGGTATGGTACGTTAAGGTAAGGTATGGGATGTGTGATGATTCCTAGACCTGCAACATCTTGCAGAGTTAAACTGCAGTAGCGCTGCCATATTTACAGCTAATAAGTTCAGTTTTGAWGTGGTAGTAGCTGAGAGTGATTCACAACATGTAGTTCAGGTGCAAAAAAATCATAGCAGATTTAGTATTTTCCCATAAGCTCTGCATTTAAACAGGTTAGACCTAACTCCATCCCTTCTCATCATAAGATAGTTTTATTCTAAAAATAAAAGCAGCAGGTGATATGCATTCCTTACAGTGTTTACACAAAAAAAGTTTATTTTATTTTATCACTTTTACAAGGTAAAAGCAGAACCTGATCTCATGCCGTGGAGCTCTGCAGCCATCACCATCCTCATCGCTGCACGTACTAAATATAAACATCTGCACTCTGAACTTTCCTTATCACCTGCTGTGGTTTTTGTCTCAGACCTCCACGATGTGCCCTGGCTATGCCTAGTTCCCCCGGCTCGTACCTGTGCCACAGGACTGACCTGAAGAATGTCTTTGACGAGTGGATCACAGCCGCTGCCTTTTGTTGCTGTTTGCATGCATGTATGAACAGACAAGCCAACACTGGCCACAGCTGTTGGCAGCAAACACTGCTCCTTTTTAAAAGCAGCAACAAAAACACGGTCCTCATGCGTTGAGGACGTGATTTATGTGACATGTCGACTCACTCCGGAGCCCACCAGTGCTTCTCGCTCTTTCTTTTTACAGTATCGGGACAGTTGTACAGACATCATGTGGCCCGCATGTTGTGCCTTTAGTTTATGCTGGATTTTTCACAGATAGCAAAGCTGTCAGAGTAAAGCCTTGTTCTTTTTTCTTCAACTCTTTCTTTTTCTCTGTTTCTTCAGGTGGGACAAGAATGAAGGTTCAGAGGAAGGAGAGACAGATTACTTTGGTCGTATCAGCAAAGGCCAAGGTTTGTCACCAACTGTCCTCATGTTAAACGGTTTTTCCTCGATTTGTTTTCTTTAGTCCTTGAAAAATGTGAGTTATCTTTTTTAAAAACATTACCTTGCACGTTCATTTGAACTCTTATGGTTTCAGCAAAGTTTATTGTAGGAAAAATGGACAAAGTGAGTTTTTCATGAAACTATCTGTTATAACTAAGCAGACAGAATCTGGTCCATGAGGGAATAYAAAAGAGATTTGAGTTTGAGATTTGTAAGAATTCAGAGTAATTTTAGCCTTATTTCTGCAACTTTGTTTTTGGTCATTGATCTTTTTTCATCTGCTGCTGAAAAGCCAAATGCTTGTGCAAAACTTTACATGCAAAACTGCATTTTCTCATTTTCTATTTCATTTAACTTCTGTTAACTTCAGACCAGTCAATAGACTTGTTTGGTATCTACAGAAAGGGCAGAACCTTATCTAAAAGTGAAAAACAAAAACATTTTTACATCCATGAAAAGTTAAAACTACAAGCAGTTGAATCAAAAAGTAAACATTATATAAAATGAAATCAATCTGTAAAAATGTTTTGATCCTTTGAATTTTATTTTTAGAAACACAAGTCAAAGTAAATCCTAAAATATGTTGTAAAGTGTTTATGTTTTTACTTGATTTTGAGTAAATTTGTATCAGTTGGGRTCAAACATAAAATTGGGTGAAAGATAAGTTTGTGGCTAATTAAACATTTAACATTCAACAAGTTTTTTCAGGCATGTAAGAAAATAAAGCAATAAATTTAGCTTTTTAAATCTATGATTTCTTAACTTTCATTGATGGTCCGTGCTGTTTATTTATTTATTTTCTACTAAAACGTATGTAACCTTGCTCTAGTTTATTTTAGCAGCATGACTCTTTGCACAGGTAATATTTATGGTAAAATAGGTAAAATCAAAATGATTGCAACTCCATCATTTCTCAACAAAATAAATTGGTTTACAGCCCTGGCATGAAAGACAACAGGTGAAATGAATTTCTCCAAGTAATTCTGGGCCTTTAATTCTATATGTGTAAAAGTAATTTGTTAAGATTAAAACGTTTTTCCACTTGAGTTGACCAAATGTCCGTAAAGGAGCCATGATGTGTCTGTTTCTGACAGGATTACAACACAACTGCCTATTTCCTGCGTTGTTTTTACAACTTTTCTGCAGCAGACAGTGGAGGGTGGAGTTAGTCGCCCCACCCCTCTCTTCCCTGGGATCTGACCCCGTTGAGGTCAGTCCTACAGCTTTAAGCCACCATGCTGACCTAAATTTGGACACAAATTACATACATTTAAGCACTTTATTACCATATTGTTGCTGTTGGGCAGAAACTTTCTATTCAAAAACCCCACAACTTTTCAAGAAAAAATAGTGTGTTTTTAAAAATGTAAATAAAATGTGGTCAAAGTTTGTATCTTATCTGAGTATATTCAGGATAGTGGATTGGTTCTTGTCATAATTAATCATAGATGTGTTGATTCTTGTGTCTAACATACCAGCTCTGTTTTTAGGAAGGAATGTAAGCGTTTCATAAAAACTTACTGGATGGTTACAGAGTTCCAAGTTTAGGTCACAAGCTCTTTGGATGCTTCAAACTACCACTCGTCCACTGACAAATCAATGGATAATTATTTAAAACAAATGTGAAAGGTGACCAACAGAGTTCATGCAAAAACATGAGACTAATTAAAGGCCTGTAACGCCGCATGATGTAATAATGTAATAAAATCGGGCTTCAAAATGTAATAAAATTTCTCCAAAACCACRTTATGTAATAACATTATTACACTTAGATTTCAGTTCATCAGACTTGAACGAACAGCGCCACCCAGTGGTCTGATGMCAGAATCTGTTTCTAACACTTCATGTTGGTAATTGGTTGTTTGCTGTGTGTTAGAATAAAATAATATTTTACACCATTCCAACAAACATCCTTCAGGTGGCTGAGCTGCAGAACTGTTTAAATATTTTAACAAAACCAAAAAATAATAATGAATTGTTTTATAATTACTCCACATAAATGCTTCTTTAGAAAAAGAATGAGTAACTGATAACTTCCACCTTTTTAGGATGAAGTGATGACAAACACATTTACATTTACTTCATAATACACACTGCATACATTCATACACATACATACAAAAATACATACATACATACATACATACATACATACATACATACATACATACATAC